TCCCATTTCCAGGACTCAAGTTCGACTAAATGAAAATAACCGGTTTCCCTGAATCCCTTCACTAAATATTACATCTGTGTCCATTTATTAAATAATATTAATCTTGACTCTTATGATGTACATTTTACAGAGATGGTAAATGATGTACTGTAGCATATAATAGGTTAGGTTATTTAAAAATGTACAAGTGATAGTGTATATCATTTTAACAGACTGGAGATATAACAAGAATTCAACGCAGGGAGCAGATAACCTGATTCATCGTTGTATCGTGTGCTGGTGGGTGACTCTCCTTCCCCACACTGTATGGACCTGCATCTGTAGCTTACATATTTAAGTAAGTCAGCTTGTTGTCCTCCTTCAGTTATTTTTTTTTATTTTTTTATTTAACACATCGGCCGATTCCCACCAAGGCAGGGTGGCCGAAAAAAAGAAAAACTTTCATCATCATCATTCACTCCATCACTGTCTTGCCAGAGGGGTGCTTTACACTACAGTTACAAAACTGCAACATTAACACCCTCCTCCTTCAGACTGTAGACACTGTACTTCCCATCTCCAGGATCTTTTCCGGCCTGCTGGTTTCTCTGAATCCCTTCATAAATGTTACTTTGCTCACACTCCAACAGCACATCAAGTATTAAAAACCATTTGTCTCCATTCACTCCTATCAAATACGCTCGTGCATGCGTGCTGGAGTCCAAACCCCTCGCACACAAAACCTCCTTTAACCCCTCCCTCCAACCCTTCCTAGGCCAACCCCTACCCGCCTTCCCTCCACTACAGATTTATACACTCTCGAAGTCGTTCTGTTTTGTTCCATTCTCTCTACATGTCTGAACCACCTCAACATCCTCTCCTCACCCCTCTGGATAATAGTTTTGGTACTCCCACACCTTCTCCTAATTTCGAACTACAAATTCTCTGCATTATATTCACACCACACATTGCCCTCAGACATTACATCTCCACTGCCTCTAGCCTTCTCCTCGTTGCAACATTCACCACCATGCTTCACACCCATACAGGAGTGTTGGTAAAACGTACTCTCATACATTCCCTTTTTGTTTCCATGGACAACGTTTTTTGTCTCCACAGACTCCTAAGTGCACACTCGCCCTTTTCCCTCATCAATTCTGTTATGATTTACCTCATCCTTCGTAGACCCATCTGCTGACATGTCCACTCTAATATCTGATACATTCACCTCCTCCATACTCTCTCCCTCCAATCGATATCCAGTCTTTCGTCACCTAATCTTTTTGTTATCTCATAACCTTACTCTTTCCTATATTCACTTTTAATTTCTTCTTTTACATACCCTACCAAAATTTATCCACCAACCTCTGCAACTTCTCTTCAGAATCTCCAAAAGCACTGTGTCATCAGCAAAGAGCAATTGTGACAACTCCCACTTTGTATTTGATTCTTTATCTTTTAACTCCACGCCTCTTGCCAAAACCCTAGCATTCACTTCTCTTACAGCCCCATCTACAAATATATTGAACAACCACAGTGACATCATACATCCTTGTCTAAGGCCTACTTTTACTGGGAAATAATCTCCCTCTCTCCTACATACCCTAAGTGAGCCTCACTATCCTCGTAAAAAGCTCTTCACTGCTTTCAGTAAGACTACCTCTATACCATACACCTGCAACATCTGCCACATTGCTCCCCTATCCACCCTGTCATATTTTTTTTTTTTTCAACAAGTCGGCTGTCTCCCACCAAGGCAGGGTGACCCAAAAAGAAAGAAAATCCCCAAAAAGAAAATACTTTCATCATCATTCAACACTTTCCACTCACTCACACATAATCACTGGTTTTTGCAGAGGTGCTCAGAACACAACAGTTTAGAAACATATACGTATAAAGATACACAACATATCCTGCAAACTGCTAATATCCGAAACCCTCCTTTAGAGTGCATGCATTGTACTTCCCATTTCCAGGACTCAAGTCCGGCTATATAAAAATAACTGGTTTCCCTGAATCCCTTCACTAAATATTACCCTGCTCACACTCCAACAGATCGTCAGGTCCCAATACCATTCGTCTCCATTCACTCCTATCGAACACGCTCATGCACACCTGCTGTAAGTCATATACCCTGTCATATACCTTTTCTAAATCCATAAATGCTACAAAAACCTCTTTACCCTTATCTAAATACTGTTCATCTATATGTTTCACTGTAAACACTTGGTCTACACACCCCCTACCTTTCCTAAAGCCTCCTTGTTCATCTGTATCCTATTCTCTGTCTTACTCTTAATTATTTCAATAATAACTCTACCATACACTTTACCAGGTATACTCAACAAACTTATTCCCCTGTAATTTTTGCATTCTCTTTTATCCCCTTTGCCTTTATACGAAGGAACTATGCATGCTCTCTGCCAATCCCTAGGTACCTTACCCTCTTCCATACATTTATTAAATAATAGCACCAACCACTCCAGAACTATACCCCCTCCTGCTTTTAACATTTCTGTCTTTATCCCATCAATCCCAGCTGCCTTACCCCCTTTCATTCTACCCACTGCCTCACGAACTTCCCCCACACTCACAACTGGCTCTTCTCACTCCTACAAGATGTTATTCCTCCTTGCCCTATACACGAAATCACAGCTTCCCTATCTACATCAACATTTAACAGTTCCTCAAAATATTCCCTCCATCTTCCCGATACTTCTAACTCTTCATTTAATAACTCTCCTCTCCTATTTTTAACTGTCAGATCCATTTGTTCCCTAGGCTTCCTCAACTTATTAATCTCACTCCAAAACTTTTTCTTATTTTCAACAAAATTTGTTGATAACATCTCACCCACTCTCTCATTTGCTCTCTTTTTACATTGCTTCACCACTCTCTTAACCTCTCTTTTTCTCTCTATATACTCTTCCCTCCTTCTATCACTTCTGCTTTGTAAAAACCTCTCATATGCTAACTTTTTCTCCCTTACTACTCTCTGTACATCATCATTCCACCAATCGTTCCTCTTCTCTCCCGCACCCACTTTCCTGTAACCACAAACTTCTGCTGAACACTTAACCTACCCCATACATCTTCCACCCCCTTGCCTATTCTCTCACTAGCCCATCTATCCTCCAAAAGTTGTTTATATCTTACCCTAACTGCCTCCTCTTTTAGTTTATAAACCTTCACCTCTCTCTTACTTGCTGCTTCTATTTTCCTTGTATCCCATCTACCTTTTACTCTCACTGTAGCTACAACTAGAAAGTGATCTGATATATCTGTGGCCCCTATATAAACATGTACATCCTGAAGTCTATTCAACAGTCTTTTATCTACCAATACATAGTCCAACAAACTACTGTCATTACGCCCTACATCATATCTTGTATACTTATTTATCCCTTTTTCTTAAAATACGTATTACTTATAACTAAACCTTTTTCTATACAAAGTTCAATCAATGGACTCCCATTATCATTTACACCTGGCACCCCAAACTAAACTACCACACCTAGCACACACTCTCACACATGGTTCAAAGGTTCCTATACATTTGCTTAACATCTCCCAAAATCTCTCTCTCTCCTCTACACTCCTCTCTTCTCCAGGTGCATAAACGCTTATTATGACCCATTTTTCACATCCGACCCTTATTTTAATCCATATAATCCTTGAATTTATACATTTATATTCCCTCTTCTCCTTCCATAACTGGTCCTTCAACGTTATTGTTACCACTTCCTTAGCTCTAACTCTCTCAGCTACTCCTGACTTAATCCCAATTATTTCTCCCCACTGAAACTCACCTACTCCCTTCAGCTTTGTTTCGCTTAGGGCCAGGACATCCAACTTCTTTTCATTCATAACATCAGCAATTATATCTTTCTTATCATCTGCATTACATCCATGCACATTCAAACATCTCAGTTTTATAAAGTTTTTCTTCTTCTGATTTTTAGTAAATGTGTACAGGAGAAGGGGTTACTAGCCCATTGCTCCCGGCATTTTAGTTGCCTCATACGACACATGTGGTTTACGGAGGAAAGATTCTTTTCTGCTTCCCCATGGACAATAGAGAGAGAGAAAAAAAAAAGACAGGAACAAGAGCTATTAAGAAACAGAAGAAAAACCCTTGACGTGTGTATGTATATATCTTTCTTTCAACACACCGGCCGTATCCCACTGAGGCAGGGTGGCCCAAAAGGAAAAACAAAAGTTTCTCCTTTTACATTTAGTAATATATACAGGAGAAGGGGTTACTAGCCCCTTGCTCCTGGCATTTTAATTGCCACTTACAACACGCATGGCTTACAGAGGAAGAATTCTGTTCCACTTCCAATGGAGATAAGAGGAAATAAACAAGAATAAGAACTAGAAAGAAAATAGAAGAAAACCAGAGGGGTGTGTATATATATGCTTGTACATGTATGTGTAGTGTGACCTAAGTGTAAGTAGAAGTAGCAAGATGTACCTGAAATCTTGCATGTTCATAGGACAGAAAAAAGGACACCAACAATCCTATCATCATGTAAAACAATTACAGGCTTTCGTTTTACACTCACTTGGCAGGACGGTAGTACCTCCCTGGGTGGTTGTTGTCTACCAACCTACTACCTTTAAATTTAACATAGTATAGGATACAGTAGTATTGTGCTGAAGGCACATATCATATCAGTGGGAAGCCCACAGTGTTCCACAGCCTGACCTGAATTGACTGTCTTGACCAACTGACTCTCTTGACTGACTAACTGACTTGGCTGACTGAATGAAGTTGGTGCCATGTAAATATTGCTTAGCACTTACTTAAAATTCATTTTTAATTTTTAATGCTGTACAAAAACATACATGTATTTGTAATGAAACACTGTCAGGCACAAAAGAAAACCACTAGTATGCAAATACATTTCAGTCAAACTAATCCTAATATCCTAATATCAGGTCCTCTTGAAGAAAGACACGTGTAGTATTAGGTTAATTTAAGGAGAAAGTGTTATGCCATGAAGGACCGAAAGAAGCCATTGTTGATAGAACGTAAGTTTATTCAGCAACAGGTACACACAAATACAGTTACATAAATTATCATACATAGCAGCATATATGTAGATTACCCAGGATAACCCAAAAAAGTTAGTGACTTATTTCCATTTAACCCTTTGACTGTTTCAGGCTCCTTTCTGAAACTGTCATTCTATGTCACTAAATTTTTGAAAAAAAAAAATATTTTTTCTAATGAAATGATAGAGAATCTTTTCCCGATGGTAATGACACCAATAGTTTGAGATTTGGTCGAAAACTCATGGAATTACGCTCCCGCGAAGTTAGCGGTCTTGGCGACATATGCGTATCGGCGATTTCGCCGACTTTGAGCCCTATTTTCAGCCAATTCCGTTGTTCCAGTTGACCAAACTCACAGCGATTTCTTTAGAACTCCATTTTATCTATCTGCTGAGTACAAGAAACCTCCCATTTACCAATTTGGACTACCCAATATTGTGGTCAGAAATTGGCAATTTGGCCAATTTCACGCAAACTAAAAAAGATGCCAATTTCAAAATAGGGTCCAGAATAAACAAGGTAGATATTCTTGGCACTAAAATAACATATCCTCTGTTCATTAGTCACATCTCTAGGCCCCTCTTATATTATTATTGCTTTCTATTTTGATTTTTTATTCATACAAAAAAATACAAAATTTACTGTTATGCAGACTACTGCATTAGTGTAAAAAATGGTATAAATATTATTGGTGCACTTGTGAAAGAATATTAGACTCACCAGTTGACGTGTATTGCACGCTTGGCACGATTTGTTTACTTTTGAAGTTTGGTAAAAATCGAACATTTCTGCTACTTTGAGCTCAATTTCAAGGCACCTTTCATTGTAAAACCAGTCAAAATCATCTCAATTTCTGTAATATGTCTTCCATTCTATAAAATGAGACCAAGAAAACTAGAATACAACAATAAATACCATACGAAAATACACTGCAAAGTCGCTGATTTATTCCAAAAAAATGGTCAAAGTTTTTTTTTTCTCATTATGCACTGTGTGCTGCAGGATTTTTTTTAGACTGTGCACACTGACCACATAGACCCATTCTTTCATATGAAGGCCTACCAGCTTTCTCCCACTAGATTTGAGGCCGCTAGAATTTATGCGTACTAGTACGTCAAAAACCCCTACGCGTAAGACATACTAGTACGACCAAAACCCTCAAAGGGTTAAAATTAAAATATGATTACCATCAACAGGATATATAGCAAAGATATCAAACTAACTTTAGTACACCACTACTTCCTGATAGTAATGACAATATCTTGAAGTTTTGAAAACTGTGCGAATGGAACAGTTTCAGGAGACAGGTCAATCTCTTTTGAGGGTGCTGGAGAGAAGGTGAAGTTCTGGAGCAATGCTGCTGAGAAGATAAACAGCTCCATCCTGGCCAAAGACTCGCCCAGACATTGCCGTCGACCTGGTGACAAATTTGGTGTGTGAATTTCAGCATTACAAATTAGAAAAAGAGGATCAAAACCATGACCGGAATAATACACAAATAACACGCACATGGGAGAGAGAGAAGCTTATGATGACATTTAAGTTAGGCTTAAAATTGCCCAAAATGCTCTGCATAACCATGGGCTTCCTGCATGCATTCAAATGTCACCCATTCCTGTATATACAATGGATCATGTGGAAATAAACTTCAATCACTTTGAATCACTCAGCACACTTCTGGCAAGACAGCAGTTAAATAACATCCCTAATTCAGAGATAATTATCATTATTACATTTATGGAAGAACATATGGGGAATTGGAAGCAATGAGACATGATCCAAAGAATGGAAGGGTAGCTCCATTTCTTTCAAACAAGAGACCTTGACCAGCGTCTTTTACAGTCATGGACCTACAATTTTGGGGCCTCTGAAGTTTCAAGTGTTATGGAGGCCCCTTTGCAACCCCTTTTCATACAGCAGACCCAAAATTTTTAAGTAATGTGGACTAAAATCGTTCCTGAAGCTTAAGCTTCATTAATTTCACAGTAGATCTGCCGCTGATCATGTATCATTCTAGAAGAGACACAAAATGATAAATAAAAACTGATTCACAATCACCATTGTCTGAGAATAAATCCTCAGACAATGTTTTGGTCCATCCTGGAGCAAGTGAGAGTTGGCAGGGAATGTAGGAGATAATTATTAAATTTAAAAGCAAGCACTAAACTCATACGAGTCATAAGCTGGTATGTAGGAAAAAATTTTACAGTAAAAGTGAGCCTTAGTGATGTTAATGATTTATTTTTTTTTTTTTAACAAATAAGCTGCCTCCCATCAAGGCAGGGTGACCTAAAAAGAAAAATGAAAGTTTTTTGTTTTACACGTACAGGTGCTCCTTGACTTACAATGGTTCGACTTACAATATTTTAACTTTACAATGGTGCAAAAGCAATTACTTTGGAGATGAAACTTAACATAATTACTCAGAATGAAGACACCAAGTCCAAAACCTATATTCATTTATTTACTTTTCAATACAGCCTCTCCTCACTTAGCAACGTACTCATTTACCAATGTCTCAGACTTATGACGGACTCTCTGGCCAGTATTCATACCTAAATAATGTATATTAGAGCAAATTTCCTCTATTCTGTTATTTCAATATACAGTACACTATGTGTAAACTTTTAAAAAATATACCAGAAATGTTATAAATGGTACAAAGGTGACGTTAAAACAATATCAAAGATGGTTAACACAAACTCACTACCATTATAGTATGCTCCTCACTTAGCGAAGAATTCGTTTAACGACGTGGTCTTAGGAACACAACTCTATCGTTAAGTGAGGAGAGGCTGTACTGGTAATTACAGGAATTATTTGTTCATTAACTTATTCAGTGATAGCCGTTATTGATTTACTAATATATTTACCATGTCATATTCATATTCATCTTATGATATTTTTGACTTACGATGAGTTTGTTGGAATATAACCCCATCGTAAGTCAAGAAGCACTTGTAGTAATTTATACAGGAGATGGGGGTTACTAGACCCTTGTTATAGTGTTAATGTGGTTATTTAATGTCTTTACTGATAGGGTAATTGGAGGGTAATATAAACTGTGATGTCAGCACAATTCTGGAAAGACCAATAGAATGATGGATGGTGAAGGTATTTTCTTTGAGTCACCCCATCCTGCAAAGTGACCCAAAGGAATCCCAAGCTAAAAAAAATGATGTGGTTGTAAAAGAAGTCAATGCTATTACCTAAGAGAGTTCCTGATTTAAAAGATAATAATTCTTTTTTAAAAGATAAATGTGGTTTAAAGTAATGATTCTGGATTAAAGAAATGAATTATTACCAATTTTTGGTTTAAAAATCAATATTCTTTTAAAATAAAATGTTCTGATAGTAAAATGGAAGTTCATGTTACGTTTACTATTCATAAGCCTCTGAAGTTTAAACAGTTACAATGTCAAAGGCATGGAGTATTTGATGACTTAAAAAAATTATAGTTGGAATTCCCACTATCAAAAATGGTATCAGTAGTTGTCAATAAAAGATTGGAGGGTAAGAACAATATATGTAAGATGTTAAATGATCTTGACGTATTATGTGTTAATCAATAACTAAAATCCTTAATTTTCGTACAATACAGTTTGAAGTATTCAGTACCACATCATAGGTCCAAGTACAATAAGTAAGTACAGTGTAAAGTACGTACAGTACAACTGTACTTATATTTAACATAGTACAGTTACTGTACTGTACTGTATTGATACTGTAAATACGTATTGTACTATATGTATACTGTAATTGTACAATACATTCACTGTACTGTAATATCACTGTACGTAAAGTACTCATCTGTAACAGTACGTACAGTACATACAGTACAATGAAAGTACAATACAGTACAATAAAGTAAGATACAATCGTACAGTAGTAAGTACAGTACAATACATACAGTACAATAAGTACAATACATTCAATACAGTACAGTACAATACAGTACAGTACATACAGTACAATACAAGTCAGTACATAAGTACAATACATGTACAGTACAATACATTACAGTACAGTATATCAATACAGAACTACAAACAGTACAGTACAGTTAACAGTATACAGTACAATGTACAGTACAGTACAATACGTACAATACAGTACAGTACAATACAGTAATACAGTACAATACAGTACAATTACAGTACAGTACAGTACAGTACAATTCAGAACAATACAGTACAGTAATACAGTACAGTACAATACAGTACAGTACAATACAGTACAGTACAGTACAATACAGTACAGTACAATACAGTACAGTACTACAATACAGTACAGTACAATACAGTACAGTACAATACAGTACATTACAATACAGTACAGTAAACTCAGTACAATACAGTACAATACAGTACAGTACAATTACAGTACAGTACAAAACGTACATTACAGTACATACAGTACAATACAGTACAGTACAATACAGTACAGTACATACAGTACAATACAGTACAGTACAATACAGTACAGTACAGTACAATACAGTACAGTACAATACAGTACAGTACAGTACATACAGTACAGTACAATACAGTACAGTACAATACAGTACAGTACAATACAGTACAGTACATACAGTACAGTACAATACAGTACAATACAGTACAGTACATACAGTACAGTATCAAACAGTACAGTACAATACAGTACAGTACAATACAGTACAGTACAATACAGTACAATACAGTACGTACAACAGTACAGTACAATACAGTACAGTACAATACAGTACAGTACAATACAGTACAGTACAATACAGTACAGACAACATACAGTAACAGTACAATACAGTACAATACAGTACAGTACAGTACAATACAGTACAATACAGTACAGTACAATACAGTACAGTACAGTACAATACAGTACAGTACAATACAGTACAATACAGTACAGTACAATACAGTCAGTACAATACAGTACAGTACAACAAATCAGTACAGTACAATACAGTACAGTACAGTACAATACAGTACAATACAGTACAGTACAATACAGTACAGTACAATACAGTACAATACAGACAGTACAATACAGTACAATACAGTACAGTACAATACAGTACAGTACAATAAAATACAGTACAATACAGTACAATACAGTACAGTACAATACAGTACAATACAAGTACAGTACAATACAGTACAGTACAATACAGTACAGTACAATACAGTACAATACAGTACAGTACAATACAGTACAATACATACAGTACAATACAGTACAGTACAATACAGTACAGTATCAATACAGTAACAGTACAATACAGTACAGTACAATACAGTACAGTACAATACAGTACAGTACAATACAGTACAATACAGTACAGTACAATACAGTACAGTACATACAGTACAGTACAATACAGTACAGTACAATACAGTACAGTACAATACAGTACAGTACAGTAACATACAGTACAGTACAGTACAGTACAGTACAATACAGTACAAACAGTACATATCGTACAATACAGTACAATACAGTACAGTACATACAGTACAATACAGTACAATACAGTACAGTACATACAGTACAGTACAATACAGTACAATACATACAGTACAAGTACAGTACAGTACAATACAGTACAGTACAATACAGTACGTACAATACAGTACAATACAGTACATACAATACAGTACAATACAGTACAGTACAATACAGTACAGTACAATACAGTACATACAATACAGTACAATACAGTACAGTACAATACAGACATACAGTACAATACAGTACAGTACAATACAGTACAGTACAATACAGTACAGTACAATACAGTACAGTTACAATACAGTACAATACATACAGTACAGTACAATACAGTACAATACAGTACAGTACAGTACAGTACAATACAGTACAGTACAATACAGTACAATACAGTACAATACAGTACAGTACAATACAGTACAGTACAATACAGTACAGTACAATACAGTACAATACAATACAGTACAATACAGTACAGTACAATACAGTACAGTACAATACTGTACAATACAATACAGTACAGTACAATACAGTACAATACAGTACAGTACATACAGTACAGTACAATACAGTACAGTACCAATACAGTACAGTACAATACAGTACAGTACAATACAGTACAGTACAGTACAATACAAAGTTACATACAGTACAATACAGTACAGTACAATACAGTACAATACAGTACAGTACAATGCACAGTACAGTACATACAGTACAGTACAATACAGTACACATACTGCAGTACAGTACAATACAGTCACAATACAATTACAGTACAATACAGTACAGTACAATACAGTACAGTACAATACAGTACAAAGTATACAATACAGTACAGTACAATACAGTACAGTACAATACAGTACAGTACAATACAGTACAATACAGTACAGTACAATACAG